CCTCCAGCTCTGGAGGTGAGCTGGGTGTTGTCCCACTGCTCCTTCCCCACAAACCTACTCCGGCGCTATTCGGCGGTGGACAAACCTCCCTTGAATAAACCTCCCCTTAGTGAAAACGGCCTAGGACCGAAACCGACTGACCTGGACCCACAAAAATGACGGCCGCGACGCCCTCTCGCGAACCGAAAACGGCCAATTCCTTAATCGACGTGTCAGGGTAGGAGGTCTATCGAACCCCGGCGCTATCTGGGGACGTCCACGCGCGTGTGGCCTCTGGGGCGCAGAGTCACCCCCCCTCTTCTGCGCCCCCCCCCCCTTCTTCGGGACAAGTTGTGGCTGCGTGCCGGTGGGCGGAGAGAAGGTGCTCCGGTGGGCCTCCAGTCCCGAGGAGGCGAAGCAGGGGGAGGACCAGTGCAAACCCAAGGCGCGTCAGCGATGTTGGCAGCAAACCCTCCCTCCAAATTCGCTCCTCACAGGTCCCTGCAAGAACAGATTTCCATTGCGGGGGACACCCCATGGACATACAGCCGTCTGAGAGTCATCAGTCGCGTCATGGAAACATACTTGGGACTCCAACGTCGAGAATGAACGTGACTCTTGTGCCCTGACAATCCTAGATCGTGCCAGAACACAAATCCTGGAATTTCAACACTGCGAATCGACGTGATGGTTGCGTCCTGAGAACCCTAAACCGTGCCAGAACACCAGTTCTGGAACCCCAACCCTAAGAATCCTTGAAATGGCTGCAAGCGTTTAAGACGAATGCGCGGCGCTCAGGCGAGAGCCGCAAGTTGAAAACGCACCGCTTTCCATTTATGAGACTGCTACACAGGTTGAAGACGAATGCGAGCGGCGCTGAGACAAGAGCAACATTTAAAAAACGAACCACCATCCATCCTTGAAACTGTTGCAAGCGTTCAAAACGAATATACACAACACTAACACAATAACCACACGTTGAAAGTCACCCACCCTCCATTATCGAAACTGCTGCAAGCTTTGAGACTAACATGCGCGGGGCGAGTACCACCTTTTGACGACGACCCGCCCTCCATCCTTGGGGCAGCTGTAAACTTACAAGACGGATGTGCTCTGTGTTACAGCAAGAACCGAATTTTGGAAACGGCCCGCCCTCCATACTTGAAGTTGTTGCAAATGTCAAGCCTCAGGGTCATGAACGATAAGAAAAACTCAAGCGAAACGCCCGACCCGCCCTACCGACACGTCTGGGGTGTGAAATGGAGGAGTCAAGGAAAATAAATGGAGAACGGAGAAAAAGGGGAGGAGGATGAGGAGAGGGGGAGCCCCCGCGCGAGCGGTACAGTGCGCGTGGAGAAGGGGGAGAGGGAGGAGGAAGAAGAGCAGGAGGAGGAGGACGGGGAGGAAGCCCAGAAGGAGAAGGAAGAGGAGGAGGAGGAGGAGGAGGAGGAGAAGGAGGAGGAGGGAGGAGGGAGGAAGAGGGAGATGGGGAGGGAAGCAGAGGATGCCGAGGAAACGGAGTTGGGGAGGCATGGACGGCGAGGAAGGAGACAGGAGAAGGGAGGAAGACGAGGAGGACGAGGAGGAGGAGAAAGGGGAGGAGGAGGAGGAGGAGGAGGAGGAGGAGGAGGAGGGAGACCGACGCGAAGGAGGAGGAGGAAAAGGAGGAGGAAGAAAGAGACCACCAGGGCGGCCTGTGGAGGAGGAGACCCCGCCACTCCTTGCCTTCCTCAAAGTCCTCCCTCTCCTCCCCCTCCCCCCTTTACCCCTTCTCCCCCTCCTTCCCTCCTCCACAATGACAGAATATGAATACTACTCTCCTCTCTCCCCTGATGATGTCCGGAAGACCTCCAACCCCCCTCCGCGTAGCGTTTTTCACACACAGGATTCCCAGCCACTGGGTTCTCGCTTGGGTTTTTGTCCATGTGTTGTTCCCGCTGATGCGCTGGTTCACTTTCGGGCTCCCGCTCGTTCCGAATCCTGCTCCCGCTGCAGCGCTGGCCTCATGTCCGCGTTTCCGCTCATTCCGAATCGTGCCAGCGCTGGCCTCATTTCCGCGCTTCCGCTCGTCCCGAGTCGTGCTCCCGCTGCAGCACTGGCGTCATTATTTCCAGTGGCATGCCACGGCATGGTGTTCGGTCCTTCCAAATAGGCCCCAAAATCGAAAAAATGGCCTCCCGACAAAAAAAACTGTCGGACATGATTAAACATCCGGTGCCGATTCGTTGATTCCTGGGGCCGCAGAAGTTTCCCTCCCACTTTGGGGCGTCGCCACGCCATGCTCTGTCGTGCTACGCGTTCATCGTCAACACCATATCACATCGGGTTGTGCAAACAGACAAGAGATCTACGCCATGGTAGGGATGGGACGGAGGGGTATGACGTCAGACATGACACGAACGCACCTAGCTTGCCCTCCTCCCATCCCCCTCCTCACCCTTTTCCCCCTCTTCCCCTCCCCGTCCTCCCCCTCCTCCCCCTCCCCCTCCCCCTCCACCCCCTCATCTTCGTCGTCGTCCCCATGGCAGAGGTCCGCCTAATGCCTGGAGCAGACGACGACGACGACGAAGACGGCGGCCACGGCGGCGGAGGCTTCGGATCCCCATCCGAAGGGCCCGCCTTCTTGTACGGGTTGGACTTGTGCGCCATCGCGGCGGGCCGCCGCGGCGCGGCCACTGCGCACCCGCTCCCCTGATCCCTAGCCGGCCCCTCGCGCGAGGAGGAGAAGGAGGAGGCGGAGGAGGAGGAGGAAAAGAAGGAGGAGGACGGAAGAAGGAGATGGGGTTTGGGGAAGAGCGGAAGAAGGGGAGGAACGGCAGGACGACGACGACGACCACGACGACGACGACGACGACGACGACGACGGCGACGACGACGACGAGGACGAGGACGACGACGACGACGACGACGACGACGACGACGACGACGACGACGAGGACGAGGACGAGACGACGACGACGACGACAGCGACGACGACGACGACGACGACAACGACGACGACGAAAATGCGTAGAAGAGTCGAATGAGGAAAGGAGTGGGAGGGGAAGGAGGGGGAGAAGAAGGAGGAGGATAAGCATGGGGAGGAAGAGGAGGAAAACGCGAGTGCGAGGGAGAGGAGATGTAGGTCGATGGGGAAGAAGGACAAGGATGACGGTGACGAAGGCGATGACGATGACGATGACGCTGACGATGCTAGAGGCGATGACGATGACGATGACGATGACGATGACGATGACGATGCTGGTGACGATGACGATGACGATGACAATGGCCATGACAATGACGATTACGATGACGATGACGATCATGATGACGATGATGATGACCTCCACCGAACCCCAGTACCAGTACTTGCCACGCCAGCACCATCGTAGTCGCCACCGACATCAGCGGAGCCTCCAGCACAGACGCCTACACCGACGACTGCAGCGACGCCAGCATCGACGCCTGCACCGACAGCAGTACCGATACCAGCACAGCCTCCAGCACCGACGCCAGCATCGACGCCCACAGCGGCGCCAGCACCGACGCCTGCATCGTCGTCAGCACCGATGCCAGCACGCACCGCGGCATGGACGCCAACGATAACGCCTACAACCGCGCCGCCACGCCCCTTCCCGACCAGCCTTCGCTGGTCTGGCCTCGGAATACATCCTGACGTCCAGCGGCGCATCATCTCAGTGAGCGTACCACGCTTCCACTTCGACAAGCACGCCCTGCGCTCGACCTTCAGCCTCTTCGGCCCTATAAGGGCCTCACGTCACCCTGGGACCGTCTGAGCGCTCCCTCGGCTATGGCTTCGTATACTACGGCACCGAGAAGGCCGCCAGCAGGGCCTGTGATTACTCCCGCGCTCGCGGCCGACCCGCGGGCAACTCATGGTTTAAGGCCACCACCTCCCACGGCCAAAACCACAAGCAGCTGCTCCAGCACCAGTACCAGCAACGCGAGCACGACCAGCAGGACCAGACCCACCATGACCACAACAGCGCAACCAGCACGACTTTTAGGGACCTGCAGCCCCATGGTCAGCAGCAGCACCACCGTCACTACCACGACCACGACGGTGACCAGCATCAGAACGTCCACGACCAGCAACACCACAGTGACAAGCACGACGACGACCAGCAACACCATAGTGACGAGCACGACGGAAGACAGCAACATCACCGTCCCCAGCATGACGGAAACCAACAGCACCACCCCTACCAGCACGACTGCAACCAGCGCCGCCACCCTGACCAGCGCACGGACAGCCAGCAGCACCGTCATGACCAACACGACGGCAGCCCGCAGCGCCATCGTGACCGACGCGACGGCAACCCGCAGCATCACGCCCAGCCTGCAGCCCCGCGCCCAGACCATGGACCAACCCCGCCGCTTCACTCAGAAACGGCCACCACCGAGGTGCGAGCTCCGCGCCGCTCGGGCCACCACGACGGCAGGCACGTTTCTTCCCTGCCCCGCGACGGCGAGCAGGCCCATGCCTCTCGACGGGGCCGCCCCTCCTCGCCGCACCTCTGCGACACCAGGGCAGGCCGGGCCGTGGCGCCTCCGCGGTCGCCCTCCCAGCCTCGGGTTCCGACCCCCGCTGGCAACTACTACGCTTAGAAGAAACAGTGGTCGCGCGAAGAGTGGTCGCGCACAAGACGACGTGCGCAGGAGAACGAAGCGAATCGATTCCCAGAGTCCGACACAAGAGCCCACACAAGTTCGCACAAGACATCCCGCACAAGACCTCGGACAAGACCTCGCACAAGACCTCTAGGACCACTCTTTCTATTCAAAACCGTGAGGGCTGCACACTACTCGCGCCTCTCCGCCTGTTCGCTTCACGACGCTCCCCACAACCCGACGCCCTTCCCGCATCCACCCTACCCGTTCCACTTCCCACTTCCCACACAATCACCGCGCCCGCAGGCGCCCATGCGGACCACGAGCACTATCGGAAGCATGCCCATTCACTTCGACTCCCGCAACCACCACCGACGAAAGCACCCCCGGGGGACGCCGACGAGCACCACTGCGGAGCCCAGGACATGCTCGGCCGCGTCGTGCTCATAGGTCCGTTCGTCCACGAGGGTTTCACGAGCTCCACGGACATCGTGGGCCTGGCCAAGCTCACAGATCCGTGCACACCCGCGAAGTTCACGACCCCCCCTGGAGCGCCCCAGCAGCGACCTGGGGACGGCCCCCCAGGGGCCGGAGGAAGAGGAGGAGCTCGAGCGGGGCGGGAGGAGAGGAGGAGGTCGAGCAGAGTGCAGCGGGGGAGGAGGGGGGTGGGAGCCACGTTGACCGCCCTCGGCGGACCACCATCTGGTACCCCCTTCGGCCCCTCGGCCTGCCCTCCCCCCGCCCCTCCCCCCCTTGGTGGTCCACCCCTGGGGGGGTCCGCGCGCCGCGGGCACCGCGGCCCTCCGTCACGTCTCTCTTGCCCCTCCCTTGCTCGCTCGGTCCCTCGGTTCGCCTCCCGTTACGGTCCCCCACTCGTGTCGTCTCCTTCTCGTCCCGCTCGCCAGCCCCACCAGCGGCCGTCCGCGCGTGCCGTTATCCACGAGGTCCCCCGCACACACCAGACGGTGGGGCGGGGGGGGGGGGGGGCAGCATACAGAGGAAGCTCGTTCCATCAGGTTCCAGGTGCCAGCAGGAGGAGAAGGAGGAGGACGAGGGAAAGAAGCACGAGGAATAGGGTGGGAGGAATAAGCTCTAGGAAACATGAGCAAAAGGGGGGAGGAGCAGCAGAACAAGGACGAGAGGGGAGAGGGAGGGGGAGGGGACGACGGCGACGACGACGACGACGATAACGATGACAATGACGACGAGGAGAAGCAAGAGGAGAGTCTCAGCTTTCGCCGGCCCAGCAACGACGTTCCATGTCGAATCGTTCCCTGACGGCCCCGAGGCGGGAGGGCCCCGGGAGCCAAAAAAACTGCGGAACAAAAACAATAGATCTATACACACATATAACATATAACATATAATTTATTTGTTTTAAACGAATAAAAAATAAAAATAAAATCATCCAGGACCCTTGTTTCTTCACTGCGACCCCGAAAATCACCCTCCTTCCTGAAAAGATTCACCCTGCAACCACAAAGAACTTCCGCAAACCTCTATCGTCGAACCTCGGTCCTCGACTTTTCATGGCGATCTCCCGGAGGAGCCAAAATGCTTTCAATATCGATCCCCAGATCCCCTTCCTGCGGACTATCCTGACATGTTTTCCCGGCCCGGATCGAATTTTGACTGCCCTGGAGCCCAGACGACCCTCAAGAAACTACAAGCACCGAAAACACGACTTGAACTTCGATCCCATCGGACCGCCCTGCCCCTCCCAGAGGAGGAGGAAGAGGAGGAGGAGGAGGAGAAGGGAAAAAAGAAGGAGGTGGAGGAGGAGACAGAGGAAGGACGAGGAGGAGGACGGCAAATAACAGCGGAGGAGAAGGAAGAGGAAAAAGAGGAGCAGGAGCAGGAGGGGGAGGAGGAGGAGGAGGACGCACTGGCCCAGGCCCTGGCCAGCCTGCCCCCCCGCGGGGCAAGCCTGGCGGGCTGCGACGCCTTCGGCGACCACAACGCAACGTTGCCCACGGTTTTCTCCTCAGCGCGGCGCCGCGGGTCCTCCCCCTCCTCCTCCTCCTCTTCCTCCTCCTCCTCCTCCTCCTCCTCCTCCTCCCCTCCTCCTCTCCTCCTCTCCTCCTCCCTCCTCCTCCTCCTCCTGCTCCTCCTCCTCCTGCTCCTCCTCCTCCTCCTGCTCCTCATCCTCCTCCTCCTCCTCCTCCTCCTCCTCTTCCTCCTCGTCCTGCTCCTGCTCGCGTTTCTGCTCCTGCTCGTGCTCCTGCTCCTGCTGCATATCATGTCCTTATGAATGACATCTACCTGCCGCACCACCAACCGCGTCGGAAGGGCGGGCTGGGCGTCTCGCCTAAGACTTCCTCGCCGATTATGATCCTGAAGCTTGAAATTTGCTACACTGGACGACGAGTCGTTTTCAAAATGTCTGTGGCAGCTTCTAGGATGGAGGGTGGGTGGTGTTCAAATGTAGCCCTCGTGTTGGCACCGCGCACACTCGTCTGAAACGTACGAAACACATTGAAAGATGGAGGGTGAATATTTTTCAACATGTAGTTTTCGCCTGGGCGCCGCGCACTTTCGTCTCAAAATCAACAGTTGTTTTGATGGATTCGCAAACATATACTCCCAGGATTGGCGTTCGGGCACGATTTAGGATTGTCAGGACGCAACGTTAAAGTCCCACGAACTGCGTTCTGGAACGGTTTACGGTTGTCACGACGGAGCAGTCACGTTGATTCGTGGCGCTGAAATCCCAGAAACGATGTTCTTTCGCGACTGAATAAAATATATTCTCAGACGATTGATGTTCAATGGGGCACGTCACATAATGAAAATATGTTGCAAGGACATATGCATTGGGAACTTGGAGGCGGGAGGGTGTATTGCAACATCGTTGATTCGCCTTGGGTTTACACTGGTCCTCCTCCTGCTCCCCCTCCTCCTCCTCCTCCTCCTCCTCCTCCTCCTCCTCCTGCTCCTGCTCCTCCTCCTCCTCCTCCTCCTCCTCCTCCTCCTCCTCCTCCTGCTCCACCTCCTCCTCCTCCTCCTGCTCCTCCTCCTCCTCCTGCTCCTCCTCCTGAGGGTGATGATTGTGATGATGAGGGTGATGATGACGATGACGACGACGACGATGACGACGATGATGAAGACGATGACGATGACGAAGATAATGACGATGACGATGACGAGGACGAGGACGATTACGAGGACGAGGACGAGAACGAAGACGAGGACGGTGGATGACGATGATGATGATGATGATGATGATGATGATGATGATGATGATGATGATGATGATAACAATGGCGATAGCGATGACGATGACGACGACATCGACGACGGCGATGTCGATGTCGATGACAATGACGATGATGATGATGATGATGCTAATGACGATGACGATGACGATGACGCTGAAGATGACGATGACGATGATGATGATGATGATGATGATGATGATGATGGTGATGATGATGATGATGATGGTGATGGTGATGATGATGATAATGATGATGACGATGATGATGAGGATGCTGATGATGCTCATGATGAGGGTAACAGCGATGGTGAAGATGCAGGTCATGATGATGAGGAGGAGGATCATGATGATAATGATGGTGGCGATGATGACGATGAGGGGAGGAGGACAGGACGCGCGGCGCTGCGGGGAGATAACGAGGATGCAACAACACTGGCCTCTTACCCGCATGGAACTGAAGAACGGAAACACCAGGAGGTCAGTTTCGATTTCGTGTTAGTGCCGTGCGTGCGGGTGAGGCGAAGCTGCATGCACGGGCGAGAGGATGGATCCCGCCGCTGCCAAGGCGAAGTCGAAGCAAAGAACTCTCCTCCCATCGGGTTGACAAATTGGCCCGTGATTGTCCCGCGGTTGTCCCGTTGTTAACCCGCGGCTGTCCCGACAATTGTCCCGATCGTTGTCCCGACAATTGCCCCGATCGTTGTCCCGATGGTTGTCCTGACAATTGTCCCGATGGCTGCCCGGATGGTTGTCCCGATGGTTGTCCCAACGGACTTTGGCCTAAAATGCGCTCGGCGCCTTCGGCGCTTCGAGGTTTTGGCCAAACTGCATCAAAACATGCACTGGTTGTCCCGATTGCAAATTCGATGGATGGATGGTAAGATCGACAGAAACACAGCGAGATCGATTGATGCGTAGTGATGTTGGGTGGGAGAGCGATAGTGGGGCGAATAGTAAGATCGCCGAATGCTGAAACTGAGAAGTAGGAATATAGGTAGATAGTGGTGGCGATCGAAAGATACATGTATACATATATGTCTACATATATGTATATATATATATATATATGGTTCCGCCCCCCCCCAAAAAATCATACATCTCGTCTTAGCTCAGCTTAGCTCAGCGCAGCGCAGCATTAGCATAGCATAGCATAGCATAGCGCAGCATAGCATAGCATCGCGCAGCATAGCATAGCATAGCATAGCATAGCGCAGCATAGCATAGCATAGCGCAGCATAGCATAGCACAGCGCAGCATCGCATCGCATATCATAACACATCATAGCATAGCATAGCGCAGCATAGCATAGCATAGCACAGCATAGCATTGCTACTACTACTACTACTACTACTACTACTACTACTACTACTACTACTACTACTACTACTACAAATCCTACTACTACTACTACTACTACTACTACTACTACTACTACTACTACTACTACTACTACTACTACTACTACTACTACTACTACTACTACTACTACTACTACTACTACTACTACTACTACTACTACTACTACTACTACTACTACTACTACTACTACTACTACTACTACTACGACTACTACTACTACTACTACTACCGCTACTGCTACAATTGCGACGATGAGGACTAGGAGGAGGACGGTGTTTACCGTTACTACTAATATTGCTCTCCTCGGGGCTTCAACTCCTCGGGGTTCCTCTGGGATAATTTTCAAGTTCAGCTTGGGGAGGGAGCCTGTTGAGTATCGGTTGGCGTGTTGGAGATGGAGGGTGTTGAATACTGGATGGTGTGCTGGAGACGGAAGGAGTTGAGTAGAATATAACTTTCAAGTTCAGCTTGGGGAGGGAGCCGGTTGAGTATCTGGTGGTGTGTTGGAGACGGAGGGAGTTGAGTAGTAGGTTATTTTCAAGCTCAGCTTGGGGAGAGAGCTCGTTGCTCCCCTGCCGCCTCCCCCCCCCAGAACCTGTCTCTGTGCCTCCCGAATCAAGACAGAACGCGCGCGTGCACCGTGTTTGGCGCCACCGATGCACGGAAACGCTGTATTCTTGTTTTTTTGTTTGTTTTTTTGGTTTGCTTTTGAGTTTGCAAGCCCCCGTGCCCGCCGCGGCCTCCCTCCCAGCACCCCTCTCTCTGCCTCTCAAAAAAAAAAAAAAAAAATGTTTCGTGGCTTCGCAGACCCCCCCCCCAAAAAAAAAAACAAAAAAAAAAAACGGTTACTTGCACCGGTGGCGCCAAGCATTGCGTAGAGAGAGAGAGAGAGATAGAGAGAGAGAGAGAGAGACAGAAAAAGAGAGAGAGAGAGAGGAAGAGAGAGACAGAGAGAGAGAGGCAGAGAGAGAGAGAAAGAGAAAGAGAGAGA